TATATTGTTAAGAGTTTCAGCCTTTAGGATTTATATACAGTCTTAGACTCTTACACATCTTTTCATGGTTTCCAAAAGAAAGAGCAATGTAAGTGCAATTCATTATGTTTCATCATTATTTTTATTTTCTACGTTTTTTAATCAAAATAGAAATATTATTAGGGAGAGAATAGAGAAAAAAGTACATCAATGGAAGAAAGATATCCTTCTTAAAGAGATTAAAGAAGAGGAACAAAAAATAATATAAAACTGTCTCTCAATCTCTTTGCTAAATGCACAAAGGGTATTTTCTAATTGTTATTTTGTCCAATTATCTAAAAACTCCATGAGGTTATAATTTGATCTAGCATTTAGTTAATGTTTGTCTTTTGAAAAGCCGATGCAGTGAATGATAACTTAGGTCTTTTATCTGCAGATAATTTATCTTTATATTTCTTTTCTAATATTTGGTTTTTGTATATACTTCCTCTCAGTAATGACCCTATTTGAGACATATTCCAGATGAGAGCTATAAAAGAGGAGCTTGGTGACAATGATGATGATGAAGACGACTTGGCTGCATTAGAGCGAAAGATGCAGAGTGCTGGAATGCCTTCAAATATCTGGAAGCATGCACAGAGGGAGTTGAGGTACGATCTTCGGATGACATTAATAAATTACGACAATCTTTCAGATATTTACTATTGTTGTATGGAGATAATATACTTTTCTTGCATTTCTGTTGTTTTGCTGAAAGTTTCAAGTATCAATTCACTGTGGAACCATCGCAGTTGGTGCATTGTACTGAGATATGATGGCTGAAAGCCTCTAATTTTATTAAGTCATGGAAGTGGTGTTTAAAAATTTTATAGTTAATGATTGCCACTAATTATACCCGCTGTTATAACAATCTTGCTCTATCTTGCTTTCTTTAATTATTGAACTTTGAAATATTTGTGGGACCAATAAATTATGTTTTGTAGTTTTTATACACATGCCCTGGGACAAATAGTTGATCCCAATTGAAATAAAGGCCCTTCTTGCTCTTGTCTTTCATCTCACCCCTATGCAATTTCTTGATAAACAGTATAGGTTGGATAACTCACCAGTTGTTGTTGTCCTCCGGTTTCTT